GATAAGCAGTCATGGTTACTCTTTGAGAAAACCCATAAGAAATAGAGTGTTATAATCAATATGATCCTTTGAACCCATCCTGTGAACAAGGTTTTGTGTGTGTGTGTGTGTGCATGCATCTTCAAGTCAGTGTTGACTTCTGGTGACTGCCTGGACAAGTCCTTGTAGTTTTCTTGGTAAGATTTCAGAAGTGACTTGCCATTGCCTGCTTCCTAGGGCTGAGAGAAAGTGTCTGGCCTAAGGTTGCCCAGCTGGCTTCATGCCTGAGGTGGGAATGTAACTCACACACTTCCTGCTTCTAGCCTAGTGCCTTAAGCATCATACTAGACTGGCTCTTTTTCTATTATCCAGAAATTTTAACTATTGATTATTATATAAAAGATGTTTATTATTTTTGAATAGTGTGGCTTTATTGACTGGGTCAGATGTTTTGATCTAGTTTTTACTTTCTTTACTATAACTGATGGGTCATATGTCAGCTTTGAAAGCCATATTAGCACCAGAAGCTTCCACGCTGCCACATTCTTGAGCTTAGGAATTTGGGAGGGGGCATTTTATGGAGCGCATGTCGTTAGATATAATAGCATTCTTCTTTAGAGTCAAGGTCATGTTATTTCTGCACCTGGATGAGAGTGGTAGAAGGGATATCTCAAGTTGGAACGGATGGTGATTAGGGCATGTGATGGAATGATGGGTGCAGGGGATAGTTTTGTAATTTTTAATTATTGGAGGAAAACCTGGAACTTTCAGATTCAGGTTTTCCCAGATGTGCCAGTATGACAGCTCAAATAAAATGGAACTTTGAGAAAATGCTACTGGAGTTTGTTTTTCTGGAACGCTGACATCACATTCTTGAGTTTAGATGCAACAACCAACCTTTTTTTTCCTGCCTATAATACCTGTTTGGAGGTCCTCTGTTTATTGATAAAACCTTACATAATTTCTGGAGGATGACCATTTAGTTATGTTTGATATCTGAACTGTGATGTCAGGTATTTTGAAATTGGGAAATTATATGTATGATAAAAAATATTACCCCTTTGTTATTTTTATTCATTAAAACGATTGTAACTTTACAGAAGATGTGGGAAACCTAACTGTACCCCATTGCCTTGAAATCCTTTCTATCTGTGGTATTGAAATGCTTGTGGACAATGTGCTTTTAGCATTTTGTTACCCATTGTTTGGTTTTATGTGGCTTCTTGGAATGCATGGGATTTTACTGGTCTTGCATGTTTTAGCAGAAAATCTATTGAGTTAGTTACATTTTGAGCATAATGGCAGATCCTGAATTACCATACTGGTAAGGACTATAGCAACTGCTCTCACAATATTCTATCTCTGTATTGTCTAGAGAATCAAACTAGAGACACAAGCATCGCCAATTGACCACTCCTTTCTTAATTGAAACAGGATCTGGAAGATCTAGAGGATGCAGAAGAAGAGCCAGATGTTGAAGAGGAAGAAGAACCTGCAGCTAAAAAAGATGAACTGTAAACAGAAGTCCAATCTGCATATCCCCAGACACTGTGCTGTGGCTGCCAACTCAAGCAAGTCAGCAAATCAACTCTAACCAGAAGACTGAAACTGGTTGGGAGTCCAGGGAAATTAACCCATTCCTCTAACCTGTCAAACAAATCTAGTTTTATTCTATGATGAAGAAGGATCTGACTAGTTGGCAAACTGCTGGGTCTTTTTTCTTGTCTTTTTTTCTCTTCTTTCATTTGCAAACTGTGATGTACATTTCCTTAGAGTATTGCGGCCTGGGTAGAAGCACATTGAAATGATAATATGTCCTATTGCCTAACTAACTTGGGAATTTCATGAGTAAGGCATCCTTAAACATTAATAACACTTTGTCTAAATGACATATGCTGCTGTTGACCCAGCAGGCTCTTGGTTATTGTCCCAGCTTTTTTTCCTTATGCTTTTATTGTTGTTTTTTTCTTACCCCGGACCATTCCAGTGTGGAGGAAATCACTAGGCTGACCAAGGGAATAAGTGGGGTATAGTAGGTCCTCTTAACTAATTGCATAGTCTCATGTCCTCTTTATATATTGTACAATTGATTTCTGTCATCCAAAGATCTGGAAGGGTAGGAAACCATTGCTGAGGAATGAGAGTCCAATTGCCTCCTTACCTAAAGTGAAATCAAACTTGAGTTACTATCTCACCTGCAATGAAACAAAAGCCTTGCTATCTACACGTTATTTTGCAAATGGGTTTTCTGGGAACTGTTGGGAAATAACTTCTAACAAAAAGGACACTTGATAACTAAGGAGTTTTGTGGGGATACTTGAGAGCCATGGAAAGTCTGTATTACAAAGAGGATGATGTGTTTCAATGGAATTCATTTTAAGCATCCATGATGCTCAGAGGAATGGAACTCATTGGCCAAATAAAAGTTAATTTTAATACTCTTCTGACTCTTGCTGTTTTCTTTAAATTTGGAGGTTAGTTTAAGAAAGATTATAAATGAGGCAGACTGGAAAGGTGAATTAAGGAATTTTTGCTAGTATTTGTTTGCATATTCATCCAGACAGAAATGTTAACCAGTCCTAGATTATATGGAGTATACAAAAAGCATTTCTATAAAGGAAATCTATGTGCAAATATTCAAATTCTACGAAATATATTCAAAAGATTTTTTTAAAATGCTTGTTATTCAAAGAGGATGGATGTGGTATCTGAATCAAACTCTAGTAAAGAATCAATGCTTGGAAAACATAATACAAGAAGAGCAATACATTACACAACTGTGTCTTTGACAGCTGGAACCCATGCTAATTGCTCTAGGCCAGGCCTGTCAAACTGACAGCCCATGGGTCGGATATGGCCCTGGAGGCCATGCCCACTTGGGTTCTGCAAAGGCAAAAACCATTGATACATCATGATCCAGCCCACAATGTGATCAAGTTTGACACCCCTGCTGCTCTAGGCCATCACTCCACCAAATTCTGTTTTGTGATAGCGTCTTAGAACTGTAATTGCCCAGGTTAAAATTAAGCTAGATGCAGCGTTTCAACTAATACATAAAAATATAGAATCAAAGAGACCAATTCTGACTTTCCATCCAATTTACTGTATATACTATAATTCTGTAATTATGCTTAGTCTATCATATTAATGAAAGTAGTATGCTGGCCTTTACTATGCTATTCTTGCTGCTGCATTGTTGCATCAGTGCCCCCAGTCTTTTTAAGGTGAAAGAAAGGATAATTGGGCTGAATCAAACAATCTTATTTTAACTATATCACATCTTAGGACACTCAAGTAAAAAAAAAGCACTAAAAATACCAACAGACAAATGAGAGTATGGATTTTATGGAAGATTGATTAGTAGTATAGGGTCTGAGGAATGAACCTAGTATATGGTATGTACTACAAATTCTCGTCATGACCAGTATTTTGAATTGCATACAGGACAGGAATGTTCTGGTGTATTAGCACTCTTGAGAGTTGAACATTTCTGTTTTAATGCTTTGGGAAGGAGTATAAATATCTTCAGCTGCGGGAAATATTCTCACTTCTGATATTACATCAGATATTGCACTTCAGTTATTTTGCTTGTTGCATGCAGCATTGAGAATCGGGAAATTTAATTGCATTGGTGGATTATTTCATATAGCTTACCTGTTGGTGTAATGATTATGATAAACCAGGACTAGCAAGACCTGAGTTCCTATTTTTCTTTTCTTTAGGTCATTGTAATTGTAGATAACTCACACTACTTCAAAAGCTGAAAGGAAAGGAAATTGCTGTGTGGGAGGGATTTATCATCTTCACACTTAGAAGCTACTGGGGGGAAAGTATAAGGAAGACATGCATTTACTCCACCCCTGTTGCATGTGCCAATTCCTAGGTCTAAAAGGGACAATAAAGTCAACCAGTGAGAAGGCTGGTTGACTTCATTGTTGAGAAAATGTTTTTTTCCCTTTAAATCAGTGCCTCTGAATGTGATGGCTGGATTAAAAAAAAACAGCAATAGAACAGCTTTTTATTTAGTAAAGCTGGGAATTTATTTTTTAGTGAAGTACTTGGAAGTCAATACAAGCCGAACTGAGCAACTGCAAAATTATGAGCTGGAAGAAAATGTATCCATTATTAGATTTTAGATTTATAAAAGCATGCAATATCTTTTAAAATATGTAGATCTACTCAGTTGGTATTCCTCAGCTGCAGGACTTTGCTGTATTTAGTGGCATGTACCGGTAGTGAAGGAGTCCATCAAATTACACCAAGGTTTTGAAGGAGTCCATCAAATTACACCAAGAGCATATAGCCTTAAGGATCATTCTGTATCCTCTGACTTTCATGTATTCATAGTATTCACTTGAAAAGATACTTCTAAAATGATTTGCTTTTATTCCTTATATTTGAAATTGATTGTTCTTAATGGTAGGGAAAAAAATAATCCCCTCTGTTCATATTTGAAATAGGAGCTTCTAGAATGCTTGGCTTGAATCTAGCATATATAGATTTTTCTTGAATAGAATTTTGAACTTCAGTGTATTTGGTAACTTTTTCAGTTGGCTGCTACCTGTATTTTTGTCTGTGTTTTCTGAATCAAGAGTAGATTGTTTAGTCCTGTACATTATCTCAGTATATTTATTTCAAAATTTAGACACAATTTTAGCTTTATTCTAAGTATCACTCAAAGGACAACTCTGTGTATGTCAGAGAGATAAATCCTTGCCATCCCAAAGTGCAGAGCTATTACGTTCAGGATCATCAAAGTACAAATTGTTTCTAAAGGTCATCAAGCTTTGAATTCCTTCTAATTCAAAGAAACGTCCAGAGAAGTATGCAATGTGCAATTATTACCTGCTTTATGGATGAGGTCCTGGACTGTTGGCCACCTCAATTGAACAATATTTTTGTAAGCAACTATGTCATTCTATCATATGATGAGAGTGAACATGCCTCATTACTTGTAGCCAAGGAAAACAAGCTGCTGCTTGTTTTTGAAGAGTAGGAGAGCTTGCTGACAATTTTTTTTCCAGTTGTGGCAGACGAAGAGGATGTCAGGCAATTTCTGAAGCAGTTTTTGTTGCTTAGCTTATTTTAAATAGCATTTTACCATCAAAACTATTCTATGCTGTTTTGGTGTTTACATGCCAAGTCACGTAATCTGGAATCATGGAATTCCCTGCAATCATGGAACCTTTGTAACTTTTTATGTGGATCTACACCAGGGGACCCCAAACTTGGTAACTTTAAGACTTGTGGATTTCAACTCCCAGAATTCTCCAGCCAGCTATGCTATGCTGGCTGAAGAATTTAAAGTTGCGAAGTTTGGAGACCTCTGATCTACACTGTGACTTTCTTGCTTATATAAATATGTAAGGTGGAAAGATTCCTGGTGGTTGCATAGCTGTTTAAGTTCATTTTCCTTCTACTAAGATTTACAAGAGTAATTTTTCCTGGTGTTTGGATGTAAGGGCCAGACCCAGATAATACTTAATGTTCAGGGTTATCTTTTCATACCAACAGCTGGACAATCTGTGACTCTTGGTTTTTTGGTAGTGTGGTGGGCCCTGAGAGGAAGTCTTTGAGAAAGAACTTAAGAGTAGGGTGGGGAACATAGGGCCATCCTTATATTGGTGAACTGTAACTAAGCAACTTGTTTAATTGGATGTGATGGTTGGGGCTGAGGAGAGCTATGCTTCAGTAGTAATTGCAGCAGGAGTAAGTTTTGGTCTTCCTTTCCATTGCTTGATTCACCCACAGGTGAGGGTTGATTCACCCACAGGTGAGGTTTACCTTTTGCTAAAAACCCACTCCACTTCCTGCCTTGCATATTGTTGGTTCCCAGATTTTTACGTGTAATGTCCCTAGCCTCCAGATGTTTGAGAACTCGTTTGAATAGTCAATATCAGTGCAAGCATCTTTCTGGTGTCAGGATGGGAAGGCAATAGTCTGCGGCCCAGCAACACTTTCTAATTTTAATGGTCTAATTTTAGTGGTAGTGCTATCAAAACTTAGAACAGATGCCATATTTCTTGTTTCAAACAGAGAATGCCTTCATCCTGCACAACTCCGATTAATTCACAGCTGAAAGCATCAGAACCTCTTGTTGCTCCACTTGCTGTACTACACTATGGGGCCTGCTGAGAAACCCCCATGAAAAGCTGATGACAAGTTTTCCTTTTACAAAGGTAGCTTGGCTTCCTGTTTTTTTCAAGAGAAGAATGAGAGCTAATGTGCATCTCATCAAGTATCTCTGCTGGAGGTGGTAGAGTTCATTTTTTTTACTACCAGTTCTGTGGGCGTGGCTTGGTGGGCGTGGCAGGCGAAGGATACTGTAAAATCTCCATTCAGAGGTGGTATTTGCCGGTTCTCTGAACTACTCAAAATTTCCACTACTGGTTCTCCAGAACTGGTCAGAACCTGCTGAATACCACCTAAGGGATGATGAGTTGTGGGTGGTATTCAACAGTTAAAAGTAAGGAGGTCGTAGGAATTGTAAAATTATTCCACATTGGTTATTTCTAGATTTAACAGTCTGCTATGAAAACGTTAACAAAGACTCCAGGAGTTAAATATGATTTGATGTCTACAGAGGTTCAGTTGTGTTCTGTAAAAAGAAGTTAAATGAATAGCACTGTTATTCAATTTTAAAATTAGATAGGCAGATTGGAACTTTCAGTGGAAAATATAACTAAAAATAGTCTGTTTTAAAATCTAATAAAGTCAAGAAATTGTAGTATTATTTCAGTGATCTGAAAACCTCTGTTGCTTTGGCTAGCTAAATTTGATCTTGACCCATTCTGAATTTCTTTTTAAAAATAGTTTTCTTCTGAAAGTAGTAAAATTAATAATTCAAAATTATTAGAAAATCCTTAGATGTACTAAAAATAATGCAAAAAACAAATGTACTGCATTCTTGATGGCTGTTAATGTCTGAAATATCTCCAGAGCTACAAATACAAGGCCTTTGCTTAGAACTCCTGGATGTGTACCAAGATCAACAGAGTCTTTGGTGCGGATTGTAACATAAAATGTACGTTATAGTTGAGGCAATCCATGAGATTTTAGATATAACTGTAGACTAGAAGAATTCATCACTAGAGAGGAAGCAACTACTATTAGAATTTCTCTTCACATTTTTTTGGTAACTGGTCAACCTACAACCTACTTAGTGGAGTCTTCCCTGAATTCACATGGATTCTCCTATTGTTCACCAAAACTGGAGGGCTTTCCTTTTCTTTTATTCCTGATGCTCTGTTTTGGCAACACAACTTCCCCAAGTCAGATGTATGTACACAGGCACCCTTTGGATATGTGGAACAGGCAGAAAAGCTCCAGCTGACCATTTTTTCCAGTTTCAATTCTTCCTCAAAATGAATACCTTGCAACTCTCAAAAGTCGCATTCATATAGTGCAACTTAGATTCAGTTACTCTTCCAGTTCTAGTGCATTTAAGTGGCAAAGCAGATGAATGGAATAAAAAAATCACAAAATCTTTTATACTCTCAGTTCCTATTGCAGACCTCAAATTCCTAAAAATTGGTGTCATTTTCCTTCCTGTTTCATATAAGAAGTGTATAAATGCTTAAATCAGATAAAATTCATTTACATATACAGATATGAGTTCTGAATTCACACAGCTGTACAGAATATATATGTTGTTGCAGCATTTAACAATGAAAGAACTGATAACTGACATGAGCAAGCATGATTCCTTGGGTTGTTCTCCTTGGCCACTTTCTACCTGTATCTTTTGCAAATATTATTGGATTTCCAAGTTACAAGCAGCAAATTAAAAGCATGCCTAGCTGCCTTAAAGATTGCAAAATATTGATTGTTATTCATGTAATAAAATTCTTCACTGTAGAAGCTTTTCACTTCTATAATTGTTGTTCTTAAATTTTTCCAAATAGCCGTGAACTAGTTTTGGGAAAAGTACAAATGGCTGCCAACACATTCCAGAAAGTAATGTAGAGTATTGCAAACGGTGGCTTGCAAAATCTGAGGCTGTTGGTTGTAGATTGCAGTCCAAACTGGACCTGCTGACTACCACTCATCAACAGGTGTGCTGTAAGCTGAGATTCTAATTTATGTTCAAAAGGGGGAAGCTGCAGGCAAGGCATCTCAATTACAAGATCTCATGGCAACAAGTATGAGCTGAGTGTCCTCAAAATAGCTACAGGGAGGCTATATAACAAGAAACTCTGCGGGGAAACCATCAGTCCTCCACAGATCTTCACCACGTGTTGTGCGGTCTCACACACACAACACACACACACACGCAAACTCTGAAAGGAACAGAAAATCATCTCTGGGTTCCTCTTCACCTTTTCTTTGCAAGATTTTGGGAGGAAATACTCCTTTGGATCTCACGACATTATTGTAGTTTTGCACCTCACCTTTGTGAGGTAGCTCTTCTACTTTCTAAGTCTGTTCATTTTCCTCACCTTGCCTGTCTGTTGGGTTTTTTTGCCCGCTGTGACCATGAAATACCTAGGTTCACTTCCTAGGTACAGGCGATATGCAAGGCACCTCAAGACTGTGCGTTTCCCCAATGATGTTCTCTTTCAGGACCATATTCGACAGGGTGACTTGGAGCAAGTAGGACGTTTCATTCGGGCCAGGAAAGTCTCCTTGGATACCATCTATCCCTCTGGTATGTGGAAGTCCGATTGGAGGGTGGCTGAGTAGGAAGTTGTTTGATCCCACATTATGGGTTGAATGTTAGGCTGTATTTTCAGTGTGTGATTTAAGGAAACAATGGGGAGCTTTCTTCCTGTCTCTCAGTTACCATATAGCCCACATTATTTTAATAGAATCATTCAAGAGGGTTATAAGCCTAAAATGCTATTACTTCTTATAGTATCCTCACCAACCTATTTCCTTTATGTACATAGTAATTTGCTTCAGTATAGCAAAGAAACAAATGAACAAACCAGGATGAGCAATAAAATAGAGTACATTTTCTCATAAATACTTCGAAGGCTTAAGCGAAACTCTAAGTTTGAAATAGTTTGATGTCTTTGAGGCATTAACTCTGGTTATTATCTCAGTGCATGGAAACCTTTGCAAGAAAAAATTGCAAGAGGAAAGGTATAGAAATGATGACAATTACAGGTTGCAAAATCCCAACTAAAATGATGGCAGGATGAGCTTAATCTTTCTGAAAGACATTGTTTAGTCTTATCTTCCTGGTTTGATGCATTTCAGATTTTGTTGGGACTGTAACTCCCAGAATTTCCCAATAGGTTTTGGCCATGCTAGGAATGCCATGGGCTACAGCCCTAATTCATGTGGAAAGTGCCAAGTTGGAGAAAACTGGTTTAGGTTATTTTAGCTCAACATTGTAAGACTATAGGAGGCTCTTTGTGGATCATTTTGCTGTTAGGGAGACTGGCCTTTATTAATTCCCTTTGTTAATCAAATAGTTCTCAAAAAAACTTAGAAAACATACTCAAGAATCTTGATTGAACTTCTACTTCTTTTTTGCCTCAAGTGAACAATCTTAAGAACATCAACAGATCTATGTGGATGCATGTTAACTGAACAGTTTTAATTCTCTTTGTTTACTTGAAAGATTTTTCTTGTGCTAAGATGAAAAATGTGCTAGTATCTCCTCAGTTTATAGTGCCCTTGTCTGTCACAGACCAGAGTTTGATATATCTTTTCCAATTAGGAATGGCTGCCATCCATGAAGCTGTGCTTGCTGGGAACCTCGACTGCGTCAAGCTCTTGATAAAATATGGTGCTGACATAAATCAGAAAGATGATGAGGGCTGGACACCTCTGCATGTGGCCTGTAGTGATGGCTATGCTGACATTGCAAGGTCAGAGACTGTTTACCTCATTCCCCCTTAGCCAGCTGTGCCACTCTCCCAGTAAACAGGAATTATATGGCCAAGGTAAAACAAGAAGAGGAAAGTGATCGCACTACTGAATTTCTGGGTAGTGAACTTTGAAATGACAAGAAATAGTGCCTGCTGGCTCATTTCAAGACATGGATGAATCCTCTCTTATCTCACAGCGCTCTCATCCTGACACCAGCAGTGCTGATAATATTTGTTG